ACAAAATGTTTTTCGACTTACGAATGCACACTCTTGAGACACCAGTCACCGGTTTCAAGCCCAACTTTGAGAAGAACTTGCGAGCCTTCTTCTCAGAGAGGCTTTGTTTCACTTGCTTATCCATTTGATCTGCAAGTCCAGCCGCCTCTGCCACTTTCTTCTGCTCCTCCGTCAGCTCACAATCTAGACGAGGTGCGTCATCATCAGAATCATCAGATCCATCTTCGACCACCACCTTCTCCATCTCCTCCTTCTTCGCAGCGTCTACTTCCACCTTCGCGACCATACTGACAGACTAACCCTCAAACTTGGGTAATTAAACCTTGGGTAATTATTTACAGTACGAATAATACCCTTACCTTTAAAGGGTCACGATACACATAGCTCACGATGAAAATAGCTCCTGATATGTCTTTCTAGGGTAAACTTGACTTCCTAAGGTAACAAAAGGACGCTGTCTGTTTGAAAGACGGCCTAAATAGGGCGTAGTAAAGGCCCAAAAACGTGTCTGACCGACGTACACACTCAAAAGCAAATAGTTGGTACGGCGTTGCAGGGGCTGTAGAGGTTACACAATTTCCATTAGGACGCATACGTTGCACAAATGCAGCTCACTGTAGCCAGCTGTACGCAAAGGCTCTCATAGTAGGTGTTTGCATTGATTTCCGCCGTTTTCTGCTGCAAAAAAATTTATTACAATACAAAAGTATTGTACGTTGCTGAGTACAACTTCTCGACATCATTCTGGTATCTCGTTCAATCCACGTCCTACAAAATCTTCGTCTTTAGAGGCAAACGCATCAACCCCCTTCCACACCTCTTCGGCATTTCGGAAACTTACATCTGCCAAATTTACTTGCATGGACCGGAATAAGTGGTAATCCGTGGAGCATGCGGGCTGAGCAAGATGATCCTATGCAAGATCTGCAGTATTCTTATCAATATCCTTTGCAACATGCAGCCTGGCGTTGTCGTGTTAGGACAGCACCTTATGATGTTTTGTGGCTGCTAGCGGCCGCTCTTCGCCGAGAGTATACGACAAACTGTCAATCAAACTTCGTGCACAGAAAAATGTTATTTACTTCAAAGAAGGAGTAGAGAATAGCCGATTACTACAGCCTTGTCGAAAATGGAGGGAAGATGGGCGAACCGACTGGTTGAGCAATACATAAGTAACTTAAACTGGTAAGGAATACATGTAAAGAGCTCTCATACCTGGATTATAAGTGAACCAGCCGGGTCGCCCGACTAACAGTGACCTGAGGGCTTGATGGGAGGTAAGTCCGACCTTACCTGTACTGCGAGTTGATTCTAGGGGTAAGAATATTGTTTTACTTAAGCCTCAGAAGGTGTGGAGCGTTGAGTTGGGGTGAGATGATCACCTCTGCAAAGAGCTAGGATGGAGTGTGAGTTGAGTATTCAATTGACTCACCCACCTTGGCGCTTCTCAAGCTCAAGTCAAAAAATGTATATTCTCGGCTTCCTGAGCTCAATTATGGGCTAACTTCCTTATACACCACTCTCTAGCGCTCATTGTTGAAAAGAAAAGCGGAGATCCTCAACTACATAATCAGACATACATAGCAAGATGACAGTACAGATCGTATCACATTTCTGAAGTACCCACTTCACTTCGCTCTACTCGCTTCACTCCACTCCGCAATACACACGCTACTCCATCAGCCTAACCACCGAGTTACTGCTTCACATATAAGAAGGAAATGTTGAGTAGAGCTGGGTTCATATCACTACCTTTATCGTATTTATAATTTTCATGAACGGACAGACAGACAAACCGACATACCGACATACCGACAAACCTCAGCACTGCAACGTCAGTCTTTACTAACAACAACCAAAAGCCTACGTCGATGTGAATTAGGATATAATTAAGTGATCCTATCAGAATCCTAACCTACCTTTAAAAAAACGTTAGACAGCCCCATTCGCTCATATAATCTGAGACTCTGCTTGACAACGCCTGTCGCACCACATTAGAGGAAAGTAAGAGGGCAGTCCTTTCCCTTCATAAGTCCTTTTTCGGAATGCACTATTGAACTCAAATTCCACTCAGAGTTGTAGTCGCGTTTGAAAGCTTGTCCTTCGATCTACATGGTGGGCCAAAATTATGATTACACAGAAATCACATCGCAGAAAACGAATAGAATGCCAATAGAGCACACCAATT